AACGTTTTCAGCATCATCACACAATCGTGAGCGTAGCACTTTCTATCTGGTATTTTCGTTCTGTGAACACGATCTTGCGGGCCTTCTCTCCAACACCAGTGTTCGACTGTCGTTGGTACACATCAAAACACTAATGAAACATCTGCTCGAGGGCCTTTATCAAATACATTTTGCCAAAATCCTCCATCGTGATATGAAGGTATCACGTTTGCATCATTTTTGGCAATATCGGAACGGCAGCGGATTAAAAAAGAAACTCGATGCAATAATTCCATGTTAGTGATGTTACTGAGAAACTATGAATTGTTATGAAATAAGATTTCAGAAGTTTCAAGAAAAAATAACTTGCTACGGAGAACAAAGTTTCGCGTTTTCGTTAGCCAGCTTTCCAGTTCCCTGGGTCTTATAATTAAGAACGAGAAGTGTCGAGGATTTTGCACCTTACCAGCCTGACCCCCCTCCTTCAGACATCCATGCGGGCAGGCTTATTGAGCCTATCTTTTTTATTTTTGTATTTTTTTCAGTCATTTCCAGGCCTTATGCAAGATTTTTCAGGCCGCAAACGTATTAATCACGAAAGATGGCATACTGAAATTAGCGGATTTCGGCCTTGCTCGACCACTGTTTTCAAAGTTACCTGGTCTGTTTTTACTCAGTGATGTCTTGCTTATATCCATTGGGTCGGTGGGTGCTTCTGATTCTCTGAATAGCTGTAGTTAAAGTGGAAAAAAAGCCAATCGGCGACTTTGCAGTGGTGGGCTACAGACTTGATTTACTAGCCTTTCATTTTTAGGCCAACCGGAGCATTGCTACACAAATCGTGTGGTTACACTTTGGTACCGACCTCCGGAACTGCTGCTGGGTGAACGACATTATGGGCCACCGATTGATATGTGGGGTGCTGGTTGCATTATGGCCGAGTTATGGACGCGAACACCTATTTTGCAGGTATAATTTTTCCAATTTCTGCACCTTTAGAACATATTACGTGGCAAAATCTCGCAGAGCCCTGAAATAACGCTGAAATTTTCCAGGGAGAAAGCGAACAAAAGCAGTTATCTCTTATATCGAATTTATGTGGAAGTATTAATCCGCAAACG